CTAGTGATTTAAAAAACTTCATGAGGAATTGAAAAGATTTCAGGGGGAGTGAAAGATGGATAACTAGATGACTGTCCACAAGGTCTTAGTTCTTACATGGGGCCGAGAGTGGGCCTGGGACTACTGTGAGGCATTTTGATCATCTTCAGGACACAGATCAAAGCAGGACCGTAAGAAAAATAGTACGTCAAGCAGTTTACACCCTCAAAACCATCCAGTCTATTAACTGAGAAATAGAACGTGTAAACCAGGATGGTGAGACTGGATCTACATGCAGGGGGAATGCAAAATAAACCAAAAGGCAGGACAAATTCACTGCGTGTAAGCAAGAGACTAGAAGCTTACTGGCCTTTCATGCACAAGGTCTAAGCATTGACGCCAGCATGGTCGTTGGAAATGATATTTGCAGCAAGGTTAGGTCCACTTAGGGAGTGGAATTGATAAAACCATTCCTTAAACAGCTCACTTACCTTGTGAGCCTTATTAAAGTTGCTATAAGTCAGTTCAGACTTGATGGCACAGAACACACACAATTTTGACCTTTAAAGCCCAGGAATTTCCTGTCTCATTTTAATCCTATCCTAATGTGTAATATTTATTTGGATGGTTTTAGGTATCTTGTTTATAGATTGATTAATGGACTAATTTTATCGTTTTTATGTTTAAATCTGTTTCCTATTTGCTAGGATTTATTTTCTTTCTGTTTTATGCTATTTCCAAGCTACTTTGTAGTGGAACAGAGGGGGGGCAATGCAATAAACAATAATAATAATAATTTGAGGCTTTACAGAGTAGCTCACATGTGCATAAATCCAGCACTGTGTAGGAGATGCCGTTTTGGCACCAGTATTGCCCTCTGAAAATGAAGAAATAAGTGGGGCCCTGTAACAAAATGATCAATGCTTTGATTACTTTGTGCGTCTTCGTTGATTGAGCCTGTGGCTGAAAAAACTAAAAGTCGTTTCTGCTCTAACTTGGTTTTCATGCAGTTTTTTCTTTATCCCCCCCTCCCCAGAAAAGTGGCATCTAAAGGTTTTCATGCCTATCAATGGATCATGAAGCTTATACATTCATTCTGTAAGTCCTCAGTATCACCTGGAAGGACATCTGAGGGTAAGAATGTGACAAAGACCTGCAGCAGAAGTCCAAGAGTGGTGATAAAAACATTACAAGACACACTGCCATATGCCAGTGTTTTCCCAATACAGCCTCTGCCAGCCTTCAATGAACTCTATTTTGGAAGTAGCAATAGTTAAATACCTTTTTTAAACATCCAAATGTAAACAGAGCTAAAAATAACAAGAGTGATTCTCTTAGCTGCTATTTGAGGGGACACGAGTGTGTGTGTGCCTATGTATGTGAGAGAAACTATTACACTTTTTCCACTATTGGTTTCAACAGGCAATGCTGTATGGGCAGAAGTTATTTTGCTTTTTAGTGTGAACCATGAAATATCCTACCCTGGCAACCAGATGATTTCTTCTGCATTCTTTTTATCTTTATGTATCTATCTTCTTTCTTTTCCCAGCCCCTCTGTTCCGTTCCCACCTAGTTATCTTTCCCCCCCTCCTCCTCTTGTCTCACCATATTTCACATCACTGAGTCCTTCTAATGCTATTTTGGCATGTTTTTTTTTCCTTGCCTTAGAGATTTTTGTAATTCTGCAAATTAGGATAGACAAAGCTTGAGTCTGACATTAACTCCTCTTAATATATGAGTTTTGCCTTTTAATGTTGGATGCATAATGTTCAGTACTTCTCCCAGAATTTAAAAGAATACATGAGGATTAAGTGAGACTTCCCATAAGCAAAGGCCCACAAAGAATTCAAAATTCGCCCCCACCATTGGTTTTGTTGCAGTTTATACACCTAGTTTACAAAGTGTTTAAAGTCATTCTTACTGGATGAATTGAGTCAGGAAAGACCCTAAGAGGAACAGAAACATCTGTGTATTTTTTGAGAGGAGATGACTGAAAGATAAGATATGTGGAAGATGGAACAAATTTTATTCTGCAACCAAGAGGGTAGGACCCAAAGTAATGGATTCAAGTTGTGAGAAAGAAGAATTTGCTGAAATATTAGAAAGAACTTCTTGACAATAAGAGCTGTCCAGCTGTGGAATTGACTGCCTCAGAAAGTGGTGGACTTCCCTTTACTGGACATTTTAAAATCAATGTTAGATGGCCAACTGTCAGAGATGCTTTCACTGTGGATTTCCTGCTTTGGCAGGGGATTGGACATAATGATCCAGTTGGTCCCTTTTAAGTTCTACAGTTCTATGATTCTATGATCACAGAGATGGTCTATTTACTAAAACAAATAGAGAAAAGTGAGTTTCTTGCTCTTGCAACAGTTTTCTGTCCTGAAATGAATTTCCTTTATTTACATATGTACTTCTGTAATCAATTTTTTTTGTCACTTGAGACAGTACTACTTCCAGTCACAGGATCAGTATCTTGCCTAGTTAGGCATTCTGTGTGTACCTGTGAGTGGGCATTTAACCAAGTACATGCATAGGAAGGGGTGGGGTTGCCCAAAGCAGCAGCCAAGTCCATTTAACCAAGTCCATGCATGGGATTGTTTTCAGTGGAAAGCTAAGTACTTTAGGTTTCAACCAGGACTTTGAAATCATTATTACAGACTGGGATGTAATAATGATTATTACTAATCATTACTACAGCTAAAGGATGGGGATTCTAACCTAAACTCATTGTTTGTTTCTTATTAAATAATTGTTTCTCCCAAATGCCTTTCTTTAATTTACTTTGTGACATCTTGGTCTTGAGCTGCTAATGTCTCTTCATCTGACTTTACTATAGCATGAACCTATGCATGTTTACTTAAGGCCCCTTAAGTTTGAGTCTAAGTAGTTATGGAATGTGGTGGCATTGCAGGTTAAACCACAGAAGCCTCTGTGCTGCAAGGTCAGAGGACCAGCAGTCGTAAGATCAAATCCATGTGATGGAGTGAGCTCCCGTCGCTTGTCCCAGCTCCTGCCAACCTAGCAGTTTGAAAGCATGTAAATGCGAGTAGATAAATAGGTACTACCACTGTGGGAAGGTAACAGTGTTCCATGTCTAGTTGCGCTGGCTATGTGACCATGAAAACTGTCTAAGGACAAACACTGGCTCTATGTCTTGGAGATGGGGATGAGCGCTGCGCCCTACAGTCAGACATGACTGGACTAAATATCAAGGGGACCTTTACATTTATGTAGTTATGGTTATTCAATGAGAAGGAATAAGAAAAGAGTCAAGTTGATATTAATGTATGGACACACAAACACACGCACACGCGCGCGCAGAAAAGAACATAAGAAAAACCCTGCTGGATCAGGCAAAGGGCCCATCTAGTCCAGCTTCCTGTATCTCACAGTGGCCCCACCAGATGACTCTGGGAGCACATAAGACAACTAGATACCTGTCTTCTGATACCCCTCCCCTGCATCTGGCATTTTGAAGTACCTTCCTTTTTAGCCTGGAGATTATACATCCTCATCATAGCTTGTAGCCTGTGACAGACTTTTCCTCCAGAAATCTGTCCAATCGCCTTATAAAGGCATCTAGGCCTTCCTGCCTTATCAAGGATAACCCTTTCTCTGGCTTTCCATGGCTTTGAACATCCTAACATTTGTCTCTCCTCTGCTGCCATCTGCTGGCTCTAGTTCTTCTTCATTTTAGGATACATATTGGTACGGTTGAGAGCAGATCATGGTACAGATTTTGAAAGGTGTTCTGAAAGACAAGGTGACTCTACTTTTCACAGGTGTCATACTTTGGAATATTCATGGGGTTTTTTTAATGTTATTTCTACACTTTTGGTACAGAAATATGATAACTAGCAGCAGCACAGTGGTATATGTGTTTTTTCTACCAACCGTGCACTCGTGAAGTGGAAGAGGAAACAAATGGGGGAGAAGGTGGGGTAATAAATGATGGGAGATGGAAACTGCTGGCCAGATTTGCTTAAGAGGATTGAATACGAAAATATACAGCAATTGCTAGGGTGTTGTACCTAAAAAGGCAGTAAAACTCAGTTAATGATTATGGAGTTGTTGCTGCTGTTGTGGAGAGGAGTGCTTGCGCCATTTTCTGCTTCAGATTGCACATCCTGTGGTCTCTGAGTGGAGAGGTATTCTTTGATGTTTCTCTTTAGGAAGCACAAGGTCTTGGGCTGGCACATTTCCCACTTCTAACTAGTTATGTTATTTGGAAAGCCTTTAATCATCAGGAAAAGTGAAGGAAGATGTTGCTTCACACATGCTGTTTCCCAGTCTTAACTAAGGGATAGGGATGCTAACCTACAATTTCCCCACCAAATGGAGATAAAATGTATTCACTGGGTTGCAACATCTGAAGATGTAATGTGCATCAAATTCTGAAGCTTCATCATTCTGCATGTACTGATACTAGTAAATCCTTTTGTACATACAGTCATGCCCTGCTTAATGATTACCCCGTATAACGACGAATCCGCTTCACGACGATGTTTTTGCAATCGCAACTGCAATCACAAAATGATGTTTTACAATTTAAATGGTTTTTTTTCGCTTTTCAAAGATCGGTTCCCTACTTCTGGAACCAATTCTTTGAATTATGACGATCAAAACAGCTGATTGTTGGGTTTTCAAAATGGCCGCCGGGTGCTCAAAATAACTCCCCGCTGGGATTTGGGATGGTTTCCTCACTCTACAGGCACCAAAAATGGCCGCCCCATGGAGGATTTTCGCTGGACGGTGAGTTTTTCAGCCCATTGGAATGCATTGAACGGTTTTCAATGTGTTTCAATGGGCTTTTTAATTTTGCTTTAAGACGTTTTTGCTCTACAGCAATTTTGCTGGAATGAATTAATGTCGTTAAGCGAGGCACCACTGTACAGTACCCCATAATAATACCACTAGTGTCTCTGAGTTGGCTAGTTCCGCTCACAGTAAAAAAAAATTTTACACTCTATCATAACCAACAAAAGCAAATGGGGGAAGAGAGTCATAGAATCACTTACCTAAAGAGGGTTTGTACATTTACAATAGTCTTAGCATCTGCCATGTAATCTTCTTCAGCACTCATCGTACTTTCTTTGTCAACCACGACCATGTTGGCAGCAAAAGTCACACCGCACCTTAGTAAATCGTCTAGGCTTTTGTAAACAGAGCAAAAAGTTACACAATATCAACACATCATCAAGTATTAAAATAACTCATGTAAGTTCTTATAAATGGGGGGGGGAAAGGAATTTAGAAACATTTGGGGCATTGCATATATTCATAATTTTCTACTTGTTTTAAGAATGGTTACCATATACTCAGCAGTGGTAAGATAAGCACATGTATGAATTTGGTTCCTTCTTAACCATGCTTCACCAATCAAGAGCCAGCTTCAGGAATGAACCTTGTTTTACTGGAGTTCATGCCCTTCCACTCTTCTATGCACAAAGATGGGTTGTTTAGTTCCCCAGTCTTACTTTGTCCTCCACAATACTAGGCCTACAAAATGGGCAATCTACAACATTGCCATGTGAAGAGTTGTGAACAGTTTTTCCTAAGTTGGAAGCAATTACATATTATATATTTCTTTTACAGTAGAAAAAAATATCTGGGACAATTGTCCCAATACATCCATTGTTTTTTGATGTTTTTATACATTTTGCATAGTGCCCTACTGGTTTCTGTTTATTGTTGCCATCCCATTGTGTTGATCATGTGTGCAGAGAAATTGGAGGGAAAGAACGTGAGAGACCTGGCAATCTTAGATGACAGAGTGGACAATGGAACAAATTTGTCTTTTCAGGTCTATGTTTGAATTCGCTAAGGTGGGGCTTGGGCGATGACTTTTCTCCCTGCCATATGTATATAATTACATCAAGATTAATGAAATATATCTGGAAGAAGAGGTAAGAAGGAAGAAGAACAAGGAACATAAATGTGCCTATCCACACTGGCAATTAAGAGAAGACACAAAAGAATCAAGGAAGCTGAGATGTCCAGTGGAAGAGTTGAAATGAGGCACGTCCTAGTTTCATTTGCACAACCAGAAGAATCAGGTGTAAAATAGTGTGGAAATTAAATGACTTATTGCTATTTTTGGAGGCTGCAGAGGTTCACTTCGCAGATACAAATTCCCATTGTTTGAGTTATATAACTAGCTAAGTAGAGTTTTACAAATCTTGCCTGTGGCATAGCTGACAAACAGCATAAATTCAGATTGTGGGACTCTGGCACAAACTGCAATTGCTCTTCTTTTTATTCCCAGTGTTCTAGTGTCCTGTACTGATATCTGTAAAGTACACCAATCAGCAAGGGAAAAAATGCAAGATGAATACTTTTCCTTTCTGTCCATTATTACTTTGGCCTGGATTTTCTCTTGGACCAATTCCCACCTTTTGTCACAGACAAAAATAATATGATTCTTCTCTCCTATCAGTTTAATTAGATGAACTGCCAGTGGAGGGCATACCCAAAAGCTGGACTGGCTGAGAAGATGTAAAAAGGTGGAGGAGGTGGATGGGGAAGCCCTGGCTTACGCATGAACTCCTCAAAACACCTCCGGGTCGCAGAGGAAGCGGATCCATATCCCCCACTGCTCGGCTTTCCCAGCCCTTTTCTTTTTTGCTGTTGCCAAGGCCCCTGAGGAAGTCATTTGGGGGTTGGGGAAGAGAGGAAAAAGGAGGCTTCAATTGGCTTCGGTCCCTGTTTCTTGCAAAAGAGAGAAAGAGAGCTAAAGTAGGCAGAATTCTCCCGCCATTTCCCTAGACAACTGCTGTGTTCGCATCCCTCGCTCTCCCTCCTCATCTCACGTGGCTGCCCTCAACAGCCCAGTGAAGCCACCGTCAAGAACTCCTCATGAATTAACTTCCACCACAGCATCAAGAGCAAGGGTGCCCACCTCAGCTTTCCCTCTGGTTTAAGCTGGTTTAACTTTCATGTGGAATTCTCCCACCATTTCCCCAGACAACTTCTGTGTTTCGCATCCCTCGCTCCCCCTCCTCATCTCATGTGGCTGCCCTCAACAGCCCAGTGAAGCCACCATCAAGAACTCCTCATGAATTAACCCCAGCTTAATACAATACCTGTCCTATAAAAAGACCTGTGAGAGAGACGCGGCAGGTCCCATTGGGGAAGCCTCCTTCTATGTATATACCTGTATGTATTGAACGCATTGGAAGTTGAGGATTTTAATTTCCTATTATATTTAAGTGAAAATCAATAATATTTTGAACCATATTTTAAATTCTGAGCTTCTTGCATAGTAAAAGATAAAAAGCAGGGGGAAAAGAGGAAAAAGAAGAGTCTATCAATATAGGAGGAAACCTATTTGAACCTGGAGCCAGCTTTACTTCTAATTTGTAGGATTTGGATGAAAAAAGAAGGAATTTGAAGAAGTTAAGAGCATGTTGAAAGTGCCTTAGATAGTGAAAGTGGAAGCAAAGATATATGATATCTAATCTCCAAGCTAATACCTGGCTGAGGGGAAAATGTTTTGTGTGGTTGTGTTTTTTTTGCAATTTCTCTGAAATACAAGAAACAGAAAGTGAAAGTGTGAGCTTTCACAGAATCTCTAGCTCATGCTTACTCGGAACAGACATTTATTTCTGCATAAAATAAAACAAAAACAAAATAAAACAACAAACAGATTAGGCTCTCTTTTTTATGTTCTTTAGTTGGCTCTTGAAAGAAAACCTCTAAAACAAATAATTCATATTAATGAAAAATTCATACGAATGGAAAGTTTTGTGATCTGTTGTGTTCCCCTTTCTCATTTAAGCTTTATTTCATCCTTTGTATGCCAAACCTTTTTTTTACCTTTTTCATTCAAAAGTGTCAAGAGCTATTGAAAAGAAAACGATGGTTTGACCAGTGAGGGCTGTCATTTCCTCTCTTGGATTATTTTTGCTGCTGCCAAATAAATTCCTCATATGCCAGTAGTTTTGTTTGTGGTACAGGGTATTGTTTGCCTTTATTTGCTTCCCTATTTTTTATTTTAGAAATTGTTATTTGACTAACATACTATGTATTTATTCTGTGTCAAACATGTATGCATTGGTGAGTGGTTTTTGTTTGTTTTGGTTTTTGGCGTTTTTTTGTTTTGTTTTTGATAATTTTTGTTTCTCACGTACTGTTGCCTGAATCCAAAGTAGATTAATTTTCTGTTGCCTTGCCTCTATGCTTTTCCGGAGTAGTTTTGAAGTAGTTTTTGAAGTTCTTCAAGGCTTTTGGATTGTCAGGAATCACAAAACGGAACCCAGAAACAAGAGAACCCGAAAGAGGCTTTCCCCTTGATGTAAATTAAAAAGACTAGTGCAGAAAACAAACAAAGCCAAAACTCAAAACGTACGTAACAAATATATAATTTGTAACCATGCACACCTCTAATGCTTAATAACTATAATGGGAAAGGATGTACCTAAATTTAAACAGTACTCACAAGAGATGCAATATTGTGCTTACTGAGACTAGACAGGATATTTATGTTTATGTTTGTAATATCAAGCAAACTCAGAAGAAGCAATATTGTTCTGATTCCTCTAGTCCCACGACATCTAAATCTCAGTGCTTTGGACAAGCAAGCTTCTTCTTGTGTGGACTCTTGTTCAAGGTACAGTGGATTGCTTCTGCATTTAATATATTGATGCAATGACTCAAAATCACCCTTGCCCTCAGTCAATTGTCTCAAGAGTTAAAACTGTGGCAACTTCTAATTGCCCATTATTGGTCTGGTGTCCTGAAACCAAGCAGAATGCAGGTCTTCTATATTTTAAAGAAGCCATGAAGAACAAAGAGTTACCATACCTTTTTGGGCAAAAGTTACAATACATTTTCAAAAACATCTTAAATTCACAACTTTAGGATTCAGAACGCTGAAGAACAAATATTCATGCAAAGATGCAACCTTTTAAACACCAGCACCACACACGTATGCATGCAATTACATGGCACTGAACACCACAACATATAACAATATTGAGTGTTCCAAGAGCATTTTACCTACTTGTCAATAGAGCCCACCATGTAGTAAACCATTGGAAACCAACAGATGGCATCCAGAAAATGCATATCTGGCCTAAGCAGCAGATGGGTCACAAAGTGAAAGATAATATCACAAATATGGTGTGGCAACTATCTGATGCTAATAAATTGGAAGATGCTTTAAATGCACATTTATTCTGTATGATGTCATACTGAATAGTTTAATTCTTCCTTCAGAACATTTCACAGGGTTGAACTACACTTAGCCATACTTAGAACAGACCCAACAAAATCAATGGTTTGACTTAAGTCCCATTACTTTCAATGAATATGTGCTAACCATGACTGAATCTAGGCCTGACACATTAGTTTTATTCATGAAAACGCACCAAGTAAACATAACTGTATCAAAAACCATATTTACCATGAAAGTATTTATTTCACCATTTCAGCATTAGCACCCAGGACTATCTAAAATACTATGGTTAGTGACAGTTTATTGATAAATATGGATACTGTTCACAAACACTCTATGGGCATAATTGATCTGTTGTATAATTCAGCATGATTGGAGGGCATAGGTGAATGATGCAACCAGTGGGGTAGGCAGAGTTTCCAAGGAAGTCAGCACTTAGCTGGATTGAACTCTAATAAATCAAACTTCATGGCAGAGGCTTTTCCCACCACCTCATATGAAAAGGTCAAATGAAGTGTACCCATTACATGGATCCTGTTGAAGTCAGTGGGGCTTAAGAATACAGGTATAGAGCTATCTATACTGGACTGTTGTGGACAAACGAGTCAGTATTTTACTCAGCCACAAGTCCCTGGGGCTGAAGCACATTATCAGAAAACTCACATGTAAACTTCATTTTGCTATATGTGCAAATGTTGCACAACTGTCTCTTGAAAGCCAAACTTCAGGCAACAATTGATAGTTCCATACAACCCATTCAGCATGGTGTGAAAAGTGACACATATTGAGAGACAATGAGGAAAGTTATTTGTTGTTATGTGCTGTCAAGTCAGAGCTGACTTATAGTGACCCTAATGGGATTTTCAAGGGAAGTAAGATATTTAAGGAGTGTGTTTACAAGTTCACACACCCCCACCCAGTGAGTTTCTGTGGCAGAGTCAGAGAATTGAAACCAGGTCTTCTCAGTCCTAGTCCACTACTCTGCCCATGATACCACACTGGGTCCAATAAGGAAATATGATATTGCACATTAAAGAAAATATGGAGAACACAGTACTTTTAAAATGATATACTTAATACTGTACATGGGCCTCAAAAACAGAATACATTTGGAGCACTAGAGGGCACTGTGGATTTAGTTTCCAGATTCCAGTATACAGTATTGTGAAACATCCAAAGTCTAAGCTGAAACACCATTTAAAGATATTTTACACACCAAAGTTCTCAAACTGGAGGTCACAGTATTTGTGCCCATGGACGTGGGTTTGAGGTTTAAGGTTTACGGTTACTGACAGCAAATGTTGAAGTTACTGGGAGATTTTGCTCAAGGCATAAAACTATGGCCATTCAGGGTTGCTTTTCTAATCAGTATTCTTGTTTTTAAGTCTACAGTACTAAGAGTAGCTCTTGTGAATTACACAAGGGCAACTTTTAGTTGCCTCGTTACCTTGTGACTGTGAATTACATTCAAATATGTGAACAAAAGTGTTCTGAGTCTTCTGGGCTCACACATCTACATCTTTGGCGGATTACCCAGCTGCACTCCTATTTTGATGTTTGGGTGCTTACCGCTCTGGTATGCAACATTGTTAAATTATCACCCATAAGACAGAATGCCAGGAGCTCACCTCTAACAGGCTACCCAACTGTGGGGGTTTTTTAAGTCTTTTTCTTTGGCCAAAACGAAAAAGCAAATGAAAAGTCATGACTACCCATGTGCTTGGAGGGGGGAGGCAAGGGGAAACCAATCTAAAATTTAGCATCTTATTCATTAATGCAAATAACATGATTTTTATAGATAAACGTGATAGTTAAACACTTTGCTACAACACTGTCAAAAGTGACCAAGAGAGCCTTAAGCCGATCAGCTTCAGGCTCTCCTGGATGAAACTAATGCCCTGGATCCATTTCACTCGGGCTTCAGGCCACATCACGGTATGGAAACGGCATTGGTCGCCCTGCTTGATGACCTATTGAGGGAGACTGATAGGAGCAAAATGGCCTTGTTGGTTCTCCTTGATATCTCAGCTGCCTTTGATACAGTCGACCACGTTATCCTCCTGGGATGACTTTCCAAGTTGGGGATTGGTGGCCTGGACTCCTGGGCCACCAATCCTGGGATCACCAATCCAAGCTGTCATGGGACAGCTTTCCAAGTTGGGGATCTGGTCTTTCTTGGAGGACGGTTCCCAAAGAGTTCAACTTGGAGAGAGTGTATCAACCCCATGGCTCCTCAATTGTGGGGTGTCACAGGGCTCGATCACTTCTCCAGTGCTGTTTAATATCTACATGAGGCCGCTGGGTGGGGTCATCTGGGGTTTGGTTGGGTGGGGTCATCTGGGTTTTGGTGCTTCGTGTCATCAGTACGCTGATGACACGCAGCTCTACATCTCCTTTCCAACAGCAGTGGAAGCCGTTGCACTCCTTGAGCACTGCTTGGGGGCTGTACTGCAATGGATGCAGGAGAAAGGACTGAGGCTGAACCCAGACAAGATGGACGTTTTGAGGGTGGGAGCCCCTCCTATCAGTGGTTTGGGAAGCTCCCTCTCTTTGGGGGGGGCAACTCTCACCACGAAGAGTGTGGTCTGCAGCTTGAGGGTCCATCTTGACCCAGCGCTTATCATGGAGTCCCAGGTAGCATCTGTGGCCCGCACCACCCATCTACGTCTTTGGCGGATTGCCCAGCTACACCCCTATCTTGATGTTGAGGTGTTCACTGCTCTGGTCCATGCACTCGTAACCTCGAGATTAGACTACTGTAATGTGCTCTACATGGGGCTACCCTTGAGATTGATGCGGAAACTACAAATGGTCCAGAACACGGCTGCCTGATTATTAACTGGGGTGAAAAAAATATCATCACATTTCCCTCACTCTGGTGGCCTTACACTGGTTGCCCATTCGTTTACCCACTGACTTCATGGTATTAATGCTTACATTTAAAGCCCTAAATAGTTTAGGACCTTGATACCTGACAGAGCGCCTGCTCCCACCTAGTTCTACTTGTGTCACTTGATCTAGCCAGGCTGGGTGGCTGAGGGGGTTTGACCCTAAGAGAGGCCCAGAAGGAGAGAACTAGAAATCAGTCCTTCTTGGTGGTGGCCCCTCACCTCTGGAACATCTTGCCCCTTGAGATTTGCTTGGCACCCTCACTGGGAGTTTTTAAGAACAAGCTGAAGACCTGGTTCTTCAGGCAGGCCTTTCCCCCCTTCCATTTCTTAGTTCCCTACATCTTACCATCTTGGATTTTGCTAATCTCTATGTTTTCTGATATTGTTTGTTTTAATTCTTGTTTTCTACTCAGACTGTAAGCCACCCAGAGTAGATTCTCTGAATCTAGATGGGCAGGGTAAAAGCCAAAAAATGAATAAAAATAATAAATACATTTTGGTCTCTCCCCACCCTGCCTTGGTATTGGTATTTGAACTTGAAACAAAAAATAAACCATACATTTCTCTACTGTTGACCATTGTCAAGATACCGTTGTCACAATGCTCCTGATTTAAAATCACCCACATAATAAATTATTTAGCACCATATATAATATATATCATTTTCTGAGACTGAATCTAAAGTATGTGTGATAAAATTAAAAAAAAATTTAAAAATCACTTACGGATTATCCAGCAGTAGTACTATTGGATTGAGTTCTTTCTTTGGTCTATAATAAGCCCTGAGAGGAACAATAAAGTTGTAGAGGCCATTTCCAGCAGTCTCTGCTGCAACTATAATAATTTTGTTCTTGAATCCATAAGCTTTGGCATCTTCATAGTAGTTATGCTGGCATCCCTAAAATCAGTAAATAAATATAAGCATAATTGGTAGACTCTAGTGACAGAAAAGACTAAAAGAGAAATACTGTACATCTCAAATATAGAGCTCTTTCAGATGGGCCATTATTTCCATGAAATGTATCCAATTGGTGATTGAAATTTTCATGACTTTTCCCACCAGTCAGATGATACAAGGCTTATCTCGGTACATTCAGTGACATAGTCACAAAAATCAAGACTTCCCATGCTATTTTCTCCTTTCTGAAAAGCAAGGTTTACTTCCTTCTTTCCTTCCTTATGATCAGTAAATTTTAGCACTATAGCAGATTTCAATTTATTTCCAGAATCCAGATGGAAGATTTTCCATTATTTCGAAACCATTTTTAAAAAAGACTTCAGAAGAAAAGATCCATTATGTTGCTTTTGTATATAATTTTTAAAACATTTCAAGATATTCTTAGGAGAGAGACAGTGAAGTCCATTTCCATGCACCAATACCCCAGCAGCAGCCTTCAATCAGTTTCAATCAACTTTAAATCGGGGACGTTACTTCTGCTCAGGAGGAATGGGTAGCTAAGAACTAAACCTCCATATTGCCGATATGGTAAACAACTTTTAAAATCCATTTCTTCCTTTTGAAGACTGATTTTTTCTACATAAACTTTTGGAGGGAAAGATAAAGCATGTGTACATCTAGTTAAACTCTTTAAAGGTTGTGTTGATTAAGAGTGAAATACTGCTTTTGCTTTTGAGTCTGATAAGCTGTTAAGAGTTTTTAGAGCCCTGTTTATAATGAGACAAAAATATTAATTCCTAATCATTCTTCTCTATGCCAAAGAGTAAGAACAAGGCTCTTAAAATTCCTTCTTGGACAAGAGATAAAGCTTTAGATAAAACTTCTGACAAGTCGTCAGATTGCAGCCTAGAACACTTGAGGATGGTGGAGGCTACATTAGGAAAAAAAGAGTCAGAGAGTAACGTCTCACTCTCCCGAGCTGTAGATAAGCAAGAAGCAATGGATGAAGTGACACTGGATGTGAAGGACATGTCCTGTAAAATGAGTCAGGAGTATGAGCAAGTAGCGAGATGAGCCAAGTCTATTGAAATGAGCATTAATAAACTTCAAGATCAAGTTGTAGGAATGACACAGGAGTTGAAAATTGTCAAACAAAAAGTTAAGGAAGTGGGAGATAGGGCAGAAGCAAATGAGACCAAGATAAGCATGTTGGATGAGAAAATCAGCGAAACAAACAATTATCTGGAAGACAATTCCAGAAGGTCCAACATTAAAATAATGAATTTTCAATTGCAA